TGCAGTAATTACAATAACTGCATACATGTTCGTCCATGAAATATGAATGTATGTTCTACCGTTCCACAGTGTCTCAGAGGCAGACATGACCTATTCATTTTTTTGTCTATTTTAAGCTTTTTTTTATCAATTATTTACTCATGGATGTATTTTTTTGTGTTATTCCTGTCGATATGTTGACGGAAGCACTTGCAACTTGACTCCTTCTTCTCTTTTGTGTCTGTGCGTTTGACTGTTTTCTTTTCGAATAAATGTCACAATCTCCTTCTCTAATGAAATACTTCACCACTCTCTACGAATTTTCTTTTAGATATCAAGCGACACGAATGTGATTCCGAATGGTCAATACTTTCCATCTGACGTTACTTTATTTTACTTATCATCATAATAGTGATTATTTTCTCCGTAGCATACTCAGTTTACCTCAATCAAGCTTGATGCCGTAATAAATCTAAAACGATTCGGTTCATATTGACTAAATCAGTAAACATCCTCACATATAGCGTCGAAAAAATTTTCATAAGCTTGATTGTGTCACTTTTATCATCTGATATCATAAGAGAATGATTTATCAGTCCAATTATATAAGTCAGCTGCTAGTGGTCAATATATATTGGTCGACATTAACATCAATTTCACATATTACAAAATGGTATAAATTTTATTCTTGTTTCGTATATGATTTAAAAGCGTATAAAATTTAATATATATGGAATTTGTTAACGATCAGGATCATTATTCAGTGAACATCCGTAAATCCGAAATTTGAAAATCGTATATTAAGGGAAATTGAAGAGTAAAAGACTTACACTATATCAAGTCTCCCAAAATATTTTTAAAAAGATATTGCGATCGTTGGATTAGAGTAGAATATCGTGCCACTGGATCATTGTTTTAAATCTCTTCCATCGATCAAATTGAACAAGCATATCAATAAACATTTTGACATTAGTTGGTTACCGAAATTGTTGACCTTCATTATTTTCTAACGCCTTCATTAAAACGTGTATCCACAAGATAGTCTGCATAGAATATTTATGCTGAGTCGTATTCATACAGAGAATGTAGAAGAAATATCAATTTTAGTAGTAGTCAAATGTAGAAGGTTTACTCGATTGACTTTTTAATTTTCTTAGATCAGATGAAAATACATCCTTGTGACGTGTTTCAAATAGGAAAAGACGTGCTACGCAGATAACATTTTCAGCAGCTCTCTTCTTAGTTCTGAGAAAAATTTCATAATCTCTTATCCTTTTGTATCTGGTAATATTAGAATATTCACCGAAAGACAGTGATTTGCTGAAAATGTATATCATTTCATTTGTAAGATTCCTGTTCAAAATATTAGCTGCTTCTTAGGCTTATTTCACCTTCTTCTGTGAACTCGAACTTTCATCAGTGTAATCTTGACTACTTAGTTTGAAACTCTCGTTTTGTTCTTCAGTATGAACACCTTTACATTGACTTTCAGGAATATCGAATTCATTTTTTTCTCTAGGTCTTGATTTCGGTATATTCCAACAAAGCATTTTCTGAAGTCAAACGTTAACCGTTCGGTTTTATCTATTCCTTGATAATATTTACAAATTCAATTTGAAACAAGCAATTCGAAACAGCAATTTCTGTTCGATTGATTGTGTTTATACGTGTGAGACTGTTGAAATGGAATTTTGGTTTGCGTCAGAAGCGTCGGTGTGGAATCTATTCATTGTTACATCCATGAATACAGGGAAAACTTGGAGTGCATCAACGAAACGCCTGTCTATATCTACGATTAATAAAGAGTTGAGTCAAGCATTCACAGACTAAACACTGAAAGCGATAATCAAGATAAGAAAATTCTTTTATTTTTGTGATAAGCTCGATACTACTGAATCAGTGTGCCGAAACGTTTCTAAATACAGAAACCAATTCTTCAAACGTATCAAGGCCAAACGTTATGTGTGTGTTTGACGTTCACTAAAAGATCGAGAGTGATAATATTATTGAGATACACTTTGTTTTCTTTGAAAATTTCATCAGTTTATCAAGCTCGCGTTCAGCTATATTGCGCGTGCAAGTTGAATATTTTAATATCGAGAAATAGTGGTTAAAAGCTACAACGCCCACTTTTGTGTGAGTGATGGTCAATAAATAATTGACTGAAAAACATCATAATGATGAAATTCGCATTCCTCATAATATATATTGAAGAAATGAAATACACAAACTGTAACTAGAGCGTTGTTCATGCAAAATACATCGCACTATTCAGAAACACATTGTACAGTACATGTTATACTTCAAATCAGGTCCTCTAATTTCATTTGAAAAAGGTGTTGTGATTGTCGGATTAGAGTAGAATATCGTGCCACTGGATCATTGTTTTTAAATCTCTTCCATCGATCAAATTGAACAAGCATATCAATAAACATTTTGACATTAGTTGGTTACCGAAATTGTTGACCTTCATTATTTTCTAACGCCTTCATTAAAACGTGTATCCACAAGATAGTCTGCATAGAATATTTATGCTGAGTCGTATTCATACAGAGAATGTAGAAAAAAATTAATTGTAGTAGTAGTCAAATGTAGAAGGTTTACTCGATTCAGTTTTTATTTTCTTAGATCAGATGAAAATACATCCTCTGACGTGTTTTTGCATTTCTAAAATTACTCGTGTCTATTATTATTTTCTTCTATCTTCTGCTGCATTTTATTATCTTGTCCCTGTCGTTTCATTATCTTAATACATAACATATTCTCCATGACATTTCGGATTCAATATTCAGCCGTCTGTGGCATTATTCCCTGCAAAATTGTTAAACTAAATATGACAGTTCAGACAGTCATTCAGTAAATTTTTGTAATAAAATCTGATGAAGTTGATGTAACACGATAACTAATTTGCCACTGACACTATGGTGATAATATTAATAATAATCAAATTACTCTCAATAATTACTGTGTTAGTTGCAGCTGGTTTGTTCCCGGTCCAGATCAAGTTGTTGCAGCTAATGACACATTCAATGTGTTAGTATGATTTGTAAGATGGTTCATGTTCACCTCATCAAATAGTATCAGTGTGGCCAATATCAGACTGAAAATATTGTAAGGCAGCCGCTTTCATAATTGTACAATCAAAAGCCATGTCGGATGCGTTTGGCAGAAGAAGGACTGATGATCGAGATTTAATGCAAGTGAAGTCCGAAATAGCTGATACTAGTGCCACTTCCAGTTTATTCATGGCATTTATCAGTAAGTACACAGGACAGGTTTCTGTGGCTAACAAATTTATATCTGCGAAAATATGATAAATTTTATGCTACGAATACGCTCTCGTTAGTGTATCACGATGATGCTGAGAAGAAGATGAAGAAAAGGCGGCCGTGATAGCGCCCTTACGTTAAACAATACGTCCCAACGTACACAATTCACTAGCGATTTTGTCCGATGCAACTCAACATGAACCGACCAATTTTTACTCAAAGAAGATTGTTAGGAGGATGTAAAAATCTTCACACGTATTATGGGTATTTTTATAATCGATAGGTTAACCGGATGTGCTATAGAGTGAAGCAGACTCCATTGGAAAGATAAATATGATTAGAGCGTTGTAAGCAGATAGAAGGCATGGTGAAGATAATAGACAATTACGTGATCCTTCTCTTCTACAACCCTTCCGTTTTATTGGAATGAACAATTTTCATCACTTAAAGCTTCAATATTTTACGGTAACTGAAACAATTAAATGGTTTTCAAAATAATACCAAGCCAATGAATTTCATGTTAAGAAGTTTATTACTGTAAAGTTGAGAGATAAAGTCAGTACGATACTAACAAACAAAACCTCAATCTGCCACGCAGGTCAACCATGTGTTGCAGAAGGCTGATCAAATTTTAGTTTGTGATTAATTAGGCCATTTTTCTCAAGGATTTGTATATATCAGAATATAATGACTTTAGATAAATATTTCACGTGGTTTGCCAAAGTTAATTGAATGTGTTGATTTTCGCGCGTATACACCCATACCAATTGAACTGTTAAGAAAAAATTCTTTTTTCGTAAAATAGTTTTCCACGACTTTATTTCTACGATGCGAGTGATGCTACATTAATGTACAAAGACGTGTGTCTGAAATATTTGATGACTGTGGATATTTTATCATTCTTTCGGTAGAATAAATAAGCACTAGTAACTACAGAGGCTATATAAAATGTTTTTCTGAATAGTGCGATGTATTTTGCACGAACAACGCTCCAGTTACCGTTTTTGTATTTTATTTCATCAGTAAATAGTATGAGCAAAGCATTTTTCATTATTCTGATGTCTTTTAGTCAATTATTTATTGACCATTACTCTCGCAAATGTGGGTGTTGTAGCTTATAACCACCATTTCTCGGTATTTAGAATATTTGAGTGGCACACACATTCTAAATGAGTACATATTTGCAGAATTCATTCATTATTGCTTGCATGATAACGAAGGTTTTTTCTTTGAAGACCTTAGTATATGCATTACGTGTTCCCGTTTCTCGGATCAGCTTGAAATATCAATAATTCTGTGCTTTCCTCTTACTGGAATATTATTATGTTTTCGGGGTATCCAAAGTTACAGCACATTCCACATCAATTCATGGTGTCTCTGCATATTTTTAATGAAGTCTTTACATTATGTTTTGATTTATATTCAGTATTCCGACCCTTGTGTATCCTGACGCCGCAACCATTTGCTTGCTTTAGCTGTTCAACAATGGCCAAGCATTTTCCTGTTCTGTTGTTTTTGCTTTATTTTCTGGTCTATTTCTTTATGGATCTTGGTCACTAGTTTCTATCAAATATTTTCATCCAATGTTTTCTTTCAAATCACTCGATTAAATAATTGTTTTCATTGACACGTGATGGTTTTTAGTTAGCGAATCATTTAGTCTAATTTTGTCTCATTCACTATTGTCCAATTATCAAAGTTTTATTAATGCTATAAAAGCAGATATACATAAACAGACAGAAAATAGGTTAAGTGAAAATGCTTCATTCATTGTATATTTTCATTAGTATAGTCCCGATAGTCATTTCTACACTTTCATCAGTTGGTAAGTTTTAAAAGTGTTCAACCGTATATATATATATATATATATATATATATATATATATATTTTATCAACCTGAATTACACAGTTTGCACTTATGAAATATAATCTAGCCATTCTTTCTTTACAGATAATCAAATGCTTTTTATCGATAATTTCTTTCGAATGTCTACTTGTTATTTAATTACAGAAATTAGTAAACAGTTATCTGATATTCAAGGTAATACTAGGCACTGAAGCACTATTATAACTCATACAATAACGTACACATATGTTATTTTGTTTCATGTTGTTAAAAAAAGAAAATTAAAAATTATTCTTTGTACTTATTTACTATGTTCTAAATACTCAGTCATACTTAAAATCATAATAAAATATATAGAATTTTTTTTCACTAATCATGTGTTTGCTTGAAAATTGATCCACTTGAATGACAATTTTGATTCAGAAAATATTGACACGGACAACAATAATATAAGATTCATCATTTTGTATGATGAACTGAATAAGGACCACTTCAATAATTACCTTGTAGCATAAGACACTAAAACGTTGATGCCTATGAAAACGTGATGTTTTATTATTTCATCCTACACGCAAACATCAATAATTACCTACCTAATTACTTACGGCTGTTACTCTCAATGGAGCATAGGCAGCCCACCAGTTTTGTCTAACCAACTGTTTTCTAGGCTTCTCTTTCTAGTTCTGTCCAGTTCTCGTTTGTTCTTCTAATATCTTTCTGTATTTTTCGGTGTAATATGTTCCTTGACCTTCCTATTCTCCTTTGACTTTAAGAGTTCCATGTTAGGGCTTGTATTGTGATGCAGTTAGGTGCATTTCAAAGTGTGTGTCCCATCCACTTCCACTGCTTATTCCATATTTCAGTCTCCACTGGAATCTTCTTTCCTCTCTTTAACATTACGTTGTGGCTGATGATACCTGGCCAACGAATCTGAAGTATTTTGCGTACAAACAAACATCAATACTTGTTTGAATAATTTGTCGTATATTAGATTTTAAAATATTATTGGAACAGTAGTCCTAAATGGAAGATTATTTCAACAGTCAAACTGTTGACGTACAAGATCATCTTTGAAAGATTGTCATCTCCTAATGTATTAAATAAAATTTTCTTTTAACAAAAAGTAATTCAGATAATTGTCAATTTACTATTTATCTAGATAGATTAAACTATTCCATAGGATTATACAAATTATATACAAGCAAGGCGAATCGACCACTAGGTAATATCATTATTTTTTTCTTGTTTCATTGAATTCAAATACTTTTGAATTAAACTATATATATATATATATATGCCTGTTCACTGTAAGGAACTGCATATCGATTGAAGAAATATGCAAGTCTATCAGGATGTAGATGGTTCACTTCAAATAATATCCATCATGTTGAAATTCTATTCTTTCTCTAATATTATGGAACTGTGATACAGAATTTAAATGATAATATCTGAGTCAAATTTCTATCATAAAAATAGAATTCAGTTGTTTCTTTTTACCATGAGTTGATTTGTACTATCAATTTTGTTTGAAACTTATAAACAGCTTTTGTACAGCTTACTATTGTGGATGATTTTCGTCAATGAATTATTTTTTTCTTTTAGATAGTGTCATTGCGCAGTTAAGAGGTGAAAATACAAAACTTTATGAATGTAGGTTATAGACAGTTATTTTATCTTGTAATTACGCTCGTTTCTCATTCTAGTAATTGCTTGTGAAAAGAAACGTATAGTAGCATATCGAGGAATGGATCAAGCTAAAGGTTAGTAGAGAAATTTTACTTGATCATTTTTCGTAATCACTTCAGCTTTAAGAGAATTCATTATGAATAAAAGGAATGAATCCAACTGTATGTTCAATGAGAATTTATTTATTTTATTGTCTAACATAATTTCATGATCAATCATTGATTTTGTTCATTCAAATTATATGAAGCAGCAAATATATGTTGAATTAAATAATTCACATCTAACCGTTAAGCGATTGATCTGTAAAATGCTACCACAAAATAAAACACTTAAACAGCACGATACACCCATCACATGTACAAATGTAACTAGACAACAATTTCATCTATCATATGTACCATTATCAATAGAAACTTGCATGCACTACATCGTATATATATATATTTTTCATCATGTTATCGTATTTGCAACAAATTTTGAGTTTTACTCTCAAACACAGTGCAACAGACTATCATATCATCACGTAAAGTTTTTATTCTTCAATTTTGTTCAATAATTTGCTTAGTTTAGTGGTAAAAATTGCATGTGTTCATTTTATAGTACCGAATCTTAAAACGTTTGATATATGGGAAACTTGCCTTAATGAACAAGATAAAATTTGGCAAAGTAAGTGTTATTTATCGTGAAGAAACAAGAAATAATTTACTGAACATTGATAAGAATCATGATACTAATAACTCATTTTCTTGTTTTTTTTTCCAATGAACAGATGATCAATCACAATACACTAAAGAATATTGTTGGAGCATTTTAGACTCTTTGCCAACAGGTATTTCAGTTTTTAACCATGAATTTTTTGACAACATGTAATCTGTATACATCGAAATGTTTTATTCTTTCATATTGCACTATTTAAAAGTATACTATCGATCAGCTATGTAATTATTCTGTTAATGAGACAAAAATAACATTAACCTCTGTTTACATCTATGACAATAAAAAATACTGTACAATATTTAATGAAATTCAATGTCTTTGAAATGCAAAGAGAAACGTTTTATTTTTTAATATTGATGATAAGGCAATTCACTTTTTTATCTTCTTCATGTAGAACAATGTGAAATACTTTGAATGCATTCGAACTTGAATGCAACTCACTCACACTATTCACACTACATTTTGTTTGAAAAAATACATAATTGAAGCGTGCATTATATTCATTACAATGAATAGATTTGCTTGTTTGTTTTTCTAAAAAGCGTCATGTACAAACTGGTGATCTTTTTTATTTTGTGACAAAATTATTTTCTAGCTGCGGATTATCTCATCAACCCTTTAATGAAAAAACATATGCAGGTTGCTACCCTAAATTATGTTTATGGTAAGATGGACAATAATGTTATATATATATATATATATATATATATATATATGGTCATGTTTATTGATTTTTATTAGAGATATTTGATTCGTTTGTGATGCCAATGTTGTTTGTTTTAAACTATAGTGTTTGCAAAACTGCAACCTTTAAATGAAAAATGTTTTATTTTATTTTGTTCGATCAAATTTGTTTTTGACTTAGAATCACGACAATTTAGCCAACAACAACCTATGACAAACTGTATATCGGAATTTTTGACTTCAAGTGATGTCCCTCAAAGATGTCCACTTCCTCCGTGCTTGTTTTATTTTGTCATAGACATCTTTCAAGATATAACATTAGTTTCATCTGAATTTTTAGTACTAGACCTTGTAAATGGAGAAAAGTTGGTTGACTTAGATTACGCCAATGATACGCATCTACTGGGTGAAGACGCTGACGAAATTCAGTGTATTCTGACTACCCTGGAGAATAATGCATGCCTGTTCGCGATGCAGTTCTATCCGTCAAAATGCAAGAGTCGGCTTCGTGATTGTTTTGTATCAGCAACTGAACTATTGCTAGGAAAGGATTACAGATTATTAGATGAAGCACTGAAAATATATTCATTTTGGTGGTTAGGACACTCGTTACGTATTTCTAACTACCGACTTCCTCGTGGACCTATGCTTTGTGATTTAGCGATAGGTTGGAAGAAAGGTAGGAGCGGCCAGACCAAAAAATAACAAGTGAACTGAGTCATTTCGGTAAGTGTCGGCTACCGGGTCGGGGTCAGCTAGATGATAGTCGTCGATGGTTGGCGACCTGGAATGACATGGCCCAAAACGATTTGCAATGGCACAAGTGTATACATTCATCGTGCTCAATCAAATCCTAACACTCTAAATTCCTCGGTACCTTATTATTTTTATTTAAGTTTATTTCACCAGATCCTACTTCTTGAACAATATCTTATAATCTCAACCTCTCTAAATACTGCTAATATCCTTACTACCTTTACTACTATTGGATTTGAATTTACAATTAAATCTATGTGCTCATGAGATATGGCAAATTCAACTGATGAACGAAAGTACGTACGAAGTAAATCGTTGCTGCTGATTGATTGATTGACAAAAACATATCAATTTAAATGTCAACGTCACAAACTGACACGTAATGGCAGATAAATTCGAATATGTCATCACTAACTATGAGAAAACTGCTAACGTAGTTCATAAGAACTATGATAGCTCTAAAACCAAGTCATCTTTCTAATGGAACTAGCTTTACTATATTCATCTACTTGATCTAGGATTTTTTCTCCTTTATCCCCTCAACTAAATTACTACGAAGGTTTTATTAATATCATCATCTTTTAGAAAGTATTGACTTAACAATCAAATTACAATTTTTGTTTTATTAATTTTCAAGTAAAACACCGGATACTGCAAGATATTTTGAATGTAGTCGAAGAAAATGGTAAGAACTAGAATAATATTTATGCATGCTCGGTTTGTCAATCGAAACTCACAAAACTCAGAATGAATATATTTCAATCTGGTCATTATACACTTATCTCCTAATCACATTTGAAATATTTGTTATTTCGTGTGATTTTTGAAATTTAACTATTTTGAAAGCCAAAAATTAATTGATTAAGTAAACGTGAATGAAAGCGTTAGATTAAATTTTTTGTTTCAACAATTGAATATTGTGAATTACAAAATTAATTGTTTTTGTTTTTTTAATTACAGAAAAATAAAATATCAATTAAAAATAATAGAATTTCTGTGAAAAATAATAATAATGATTGGTCATTTTTGTTTTTCGATAATAACAATTAAAATAATAATATGTTGTTTTTTATTTATGTCATATATTTTAACAATAAATAAATTGTAATTTCTTATTGAATTGTAACATTCATTAGTTTTACATGATTGTTTCATCATTTTATTTTCAATATGGAAACACGTTGTCGACACGTTTGAATAATCTTTAACTTTTAAACTCAAGTTAACATTGTATAATTTATGGATTAGGTTGCTTATTCTCCTGAAAGCAGCTGTATACTGAAAAAATTACCACAGAAAATTTTTTAACTGGCTATCCCAACAAAAGTACATGTTTTTCTAAGATACGCTATTTTCTGCGCTTTAAAATTAGCAAAATCTATCTATCCATGATGCATTGCATCAACGTAGCCAGATGTATTCGGGAATGGTAACTTCCTAGAGTTGAATATTCGTTATTCAAAGGAACATATGTCTGTAGGTTGAATCTGTGAGTTTTGAACGATTCCATTGTATAGCTTTAAGAGCTGATAGTTTGAGAGAAAGATGTTGCTGTTTTTATTCGCTTTCACAGTCAGCATGACGACGCATCTTTCCTCGATTCTAAGAGTTTCATACATTAGTAAATGAAAGATAATAAGAGAAGAAAATGGAGCTGCTATTCGAAGCGACTGTACACCTGATGCATCAAAATCGGACTAAATGAAGTAGTTGATATGAATGCGAGTCACTACTCATGTGAAATTGATATGTATCGGATTTAAAAGTTATATCGAGGTCATTTGCACATGTGATGTAATTGATTGATCAGACATAATTCTTGACATCAGTTAGCAGATTCAGACAACTAATCTTGTAGTGAACGAGAACACAGGCGGGGCAACCGAATTGTATTTAACGGGAATTACAGAGTTACTCAGTAAAATTGGAAAACCATATCGTAAATTGTTCATTTGCAAAAGATCAGTTCATCCTATCGAACTGGACTGTTCCTGTTGCCAAACATCAATCCATTGTCACTATTCATGTGTTTCACACGAATTCCATTGTGTTCTAACTCGTCCTTTCTTGATCTTCCCCCATATTATTCTGCCGGACATTACGTTTACACTCACGTCATATACTACTTATAAGTAGCTCACACCATAATCTGAGTGAATAAGCTGTCAATGGTCAGTTGGAATCGGCATGCGCTTTCAACAAACGATCAGTTTTAATACAACTCAAAAATAATTTTTAAATTGAAAGTAATCATATTAGGTTCTCACTCCACATTTCACACTTGTTCGAATTCTATGTTTAAACTATCTTGAACATTATGGGCGATGATAAATATACACGTTTATACTGATCATCAACAACAACAACACATCATAGTGGATTGGTTTTTTTTACCTTCGCACATATGATCATTGATAGTGTATTAATCACATTAACTAACAGATAATTTTGGTAAATCAGTCAACAGACATATATATTTGACTTGCTTATAAGACGGTGTTCTTGGTTTGATACATCCCTGACAACTTTCATTGTCATTAGAGTTAAAACTTATTGATTTCGAGGAAGATAAGAAAATTCACGTCCAATAGAATCATCTTAGTCGAAAAATAAATTTGTAAGACTTGAACAATATGTCCGTATATGAATAATATAAAACATGTACAAAAAGTAACCAGATAATATGTTTATAATTACTTTTCTTGATAGCGAAAGTATGAGTGAATGTAAAGATATAATGATAATGGGCAAAGACTAATTCAATGAGTAGGAGAACGATGTGGTTAAATAATTTCACGCGACTCTTATTATGCCTGAAGCTATAACCTGTTAACCTAAACTTCTCCATTATCTGTAATTATTCTACTATCTCAGAGAATATATGATTTGAACTGACAATTGAGTCTCTGTGTTGGCGTGCTACTGCCACCTGATCTGATGTATTGACGTTAGAAATTATTGCCAAGAGTGAAATACAATAAAATATTACCAAAAAAGAATTGAAATTTCAGTTCACAAGATAAAAAACTGAGACAGACAGTCAAAGACAAACACGTAATTTACGCGAATTATTATGTATTGGTGACAAACATTCTCAAGATAGAAAATAATTAATAAAAACGGACTGAAAATGATCAATCATTCACGTATACATAAAAATCAGCAATAATAGAATCCATTCAAATCTGTAGAATATTCACTAAAAGAAGATGAACCAAAAGTCCTACGAAGCATTCACATGCATATTTCGTACTAGAAACAAAAGTCAATAATTTCTCTCTACCAAACAACAACAGTGCGCAGTTTCAATGTGAATGTAGGTCCAGTATATACACAATAATAAAATAGTACACAGATCATGCAAAACCCTCATTGACGTGCGTGACTTTTATCAGTCAGTCAAAGATGTGCTAATCAATAAGTGAACTTTCTTATCTATATTTGGTGATGACATTCCATAATGAAACGTTGTGATATTATTGTGGCATATATTTGGTTGTTTGCAAGGAACAACGCTGACTACAGATCAATAACACATACACGTGATTAGGTATATTTGTATGCTTTGCTTCAATTCGTCTTTACATCAACCATTTTCTAATATATTTGTTCATATATTTCTGCGGTAATTAATACAAACAGATGGCTTATTATTATTTGCCCATTAGACAGTCAAAACGGATTTGTTGTGTCAATTATTCTGAGTGCCATTAAACGCCATTCATTTTAATAGAGCATTATAATGACAGGTTTTAAACACTGAACATTACATTATTCCGCAAAATTGTATAATTAGGCATCGCTTTCAAGTTTATTGAATAATTTCGTACGTGCAGAAGACAGAATAACTCATGAACGTTACCACAGAATTTTGTTAACACTGTTAGCACCTTAATGTAGCGATGTATATTCACAATATCAAATCATTGGAAATATTCATTCATATATTTATATGTTGATAATTAGCTACTTACTAACTTACGCCTGTTACCCTCAATGAAGCATAGGCCGCCCATCAGTTTTCTGCAGCGAACTCTGTCCTGGGCTTAGCCTCCCAGTTCTGTCCAATGTTTGTTCATTCCTCTCATATCCTTCTCTTTTTCTCGACGTAATGTGTTCCTTGATCTTCCTTTTTTCTTTTGACTTTGAGGGTTTCATTTAGAGGCTTGTCTTGTGATGCAGTTAGGTGCATTTCGTAGTGTGTGTCATATCGACTTCCACTGCTTCTTCTAGATTTCCACCTCCACTGGAATCCTCTTTTTTCTTTTTAACAGTAAGTTGTCGCTGATCATGTCCTGTCAACGAATCTGAAGTATTTTGCGTAGACGATTGTTAATAAATACTTGTATCTTGTGGATGATAGCTTTCGTAGTTCTCCAAGTTTCCGCTCTATACAGTATAACTGTTTTGACATTCGCATTGAAAATCCTGATTTTGGTTTTGGTTGAAAGTTCTTTCGGAGTTCCAGATATTTTTGGACTGTAGAAATGCAGCCTTCACTTTGTCAATCCGCGCCCTCACATATGCATTGGATCCACCTTTCTCGTCGATGAAGCTGCCCAGATATGTAAAGGTGTCAACGTCCTCTATATAATGATAATAGTATTATTATAATTAATCATGGTTTTATATTACAATACAGTTGATGAGGAGTGTCACTGACAACTAATTTAAACGAGGGTTGATACGTCGAGCCTAAAGCTTCACCTGTAACACAAGATGCAGGTGACTTGAAGTTTTTGACACATTAGAAGATCTGGCGATTCTACAATTCGTCAAGGTAATAATTTGCATACAACGTTCGAAATACAACATCGTATTACCATTACTCAAATAGTAAATGCGATTTTATCATTCTTCGAAACGACTTTTAATCCGCGGTTTTCAAAATAGAACATTTATTTCTATCGATCATCATGTATATCAAATGTAAATTTGAATATGATACTGCTGCATTACTGCAACTGTTTGATAAGAAAACCTTCATTTTGATGGCAGTAATAAATGTAATATAACTGTCCATGAGTATTCAGATAAACAAGATCGAATGTCCACTGTAAGGTTTTTATTACAAAAACATGTATAAGACATTCACCATACGTTTTTAGTTATTCTTCATTTTGATATGATTTCACAAGCCAGTCATGAACCAAATGATCAACACTTGAAATTTGATTCAGGAAATACATTTGTTGTGTAAGTAGACAGTGTGAACTACCAAACATTTTTCTTTCATTTTTAAAGCTTTGATTTTCCTTCGGTTTCAATGCAATCTTACGAGAAACTAACATAAGCACATCTGAGAATTTTCATTTCCGCCTAATTTTCAGATTAGAACTTGAAGTTTTCAAACATTTACAGTCAGTTTCAACAAGATGTGTGTTGTATTTGTTACCTATATATTAGTATTAAATGAATGAATTAGTATATGTTTATTAGAATTTTGTTCTGAGCAGCTCTTGTCCGAATTTACTTGATTCTCGATAGCAAGTAACGTGTTGGAACGCAATCGCAAAAATTAGACTTACTGATATAATTGGAAGTCATGATCGAGTAAAATAACTACGGTACGTACACTCAACACAATTCATAAAATTGCACAATGTAATAAAGTATAAAATAATTTCTAATTGATCAAAATCACATAATCAAAGCTTAATATGTTGGTGATTTATCGATAAAATTTCGTGAAGCCGTTTGCTGGTGCCCAAACTTTCAAACCTGTTCTAGTCATACTAATGAAATTCGTCGAATTCCTACATATTGACAACAATGAAACTCGTTGACGTATAACCGAAAATGAATATTTCAAGAAATTATCATTTTTCGGTTCTACATATTCACCGTTTCCTCTGAATATGCATGTACATGTACCACATTCTTATCTGCAAGTGAAAACAATATTTTAAAAAAATTACGCTTCCAAATGAAGTTGGAACAATAGTACAGCAGATTCATTCAGACCACATTCGATTACTGACGTAAAACGGCTTCCTTTTTCACCGCTTGAAATCTACAT